CAAATACTGATATGAGCTCATATGAATTTCTATGATCAGTGCAAGGCAAGCCATGAAATTGCCATTTTTTGGGCTCAAATATTCCTTTATGAGCTACTTTTCTGGAAGAAGTGGAAGGATACATCATCAATTTCTTCCTCATAAAAAATTTTTAGCATCCTTTTGAGTAATATTTCATGTTTCTTCATTCAACTTCAATCTTTCAAAATATTGTTTATTTTTTTATTAATAATAATCTTCCTGACTTCTGTGATGATTCATATTACTGTTGACAATTTGAAATGCTTACTTAGCTGCATTTGTTCTCAATGATGTAGGTCAGTTACCTAGTTCTTATTCTTACTGTGTGCCTTTGTTCCAGGATGTCTTTTGCAATCAATTACTATCAATTGTAGTTGGTTGGGGAGTGCTGTCAATATGTGGTTACTGATGGGTTGTACTCTGCTTTATGAGGTTCAGTCCCCAGAATGCAACTGATGTTAATTTAGCCCTTTATTGAAATGTGGAATTTTGCATCCAGTTGCATTGCTGGAAATGGTGGATTAAAAGCTGACTCTCTAAAACTGGCTCATGCTACTTCAGAATGTTCGGACGACGATGCATCTTCTACAGGTAGCAGGGAGGAAGTACTTGAGTGTCCCATATGCTGGGAGTCATTTAACATTGTTGAAAATGTGCCCTATGTGTTATGGTGTGGCCATACCCTTTGTAAAAACTGCATCTTGGGACTGCAGTGGGCTGTTGTAAAGTTTCCCACTCTACCAATCCAGCTTCCACTCTTCATCTCATGTCCCTGGTGTAATTTACTGTCCTTCCGCCTAGTTTACAGAGGGAACCTAAAATTCCCACGCAAGAATTATTTTCTACTTTGGATGGTTGAGAGTATGAATGGTGATAGAGTGAAGTCCCATGCTAATTTCTGTGAGAATCGTCAACCAGTATGGTCATCCGATGGCAATTTACTTCTGAGGAATGAAGCTGGATGCAGTAACCACAGAAGGGGTCAACATCTTCATCATCCCGGATCATCAGGATCAAACCAGAGCCACGGTCGTGTGAATGAATACCTGAATATGGAGAGAATACAGTCTTCTCTTCGGAAGTCACTGGTTTTCTTTGTTCATCTGACAGCCAAGTTCCCATTGGTTGTCATATTTCTTCTGATAGTCCTTTATGCAATACCTGCCAGTGCTGCCATTTTGGCCCTGTACATACTTATCACTGTCTTGTTTGCTCTACCATCATTTCTCATCTTGTACTTTGCATATCCCAGTCTGGATTGGCTTGTGAGGGAGATCATTACATGAGTTTGGGCAGGATCAGCGGAAGTAAGTTGCTCGTGAGAGCGGCATCCTTCTTGGATAAATCATAACTCTGTAATTTGAGGACTTTACAGAGCTGCCTAAAAGGTCAACCTATCGAAGACACTTGTTTTCACCTCAAGTATTCGTGAATTTCAGTTTATGTAAAAAGTGGATTCTCTCTAATGTGATTTATGTGAATTGGTAAGTTTGGTGGCAACTTTCGGGGTCCCATGTACCCAATAAATAGGTGATCTGTAGATTTGAAAGGCTCTTGCAAGAATATTTTGAAATAGTTTATCTTGTTGCTAGAAAAGGCTATTCTGGAAGAAGAAGCTCTATATTTCTTTTCTTCTTTTCTTTTTTCTTTTAATGCATGGTACCGATATCATAGTTATTTGCTGCTGAGAATGCTGCAAAGCCAATTCAATATTATCGTGGTGGGTTTTTGGGTATGCGAAATTAGGACGAACGATGGTTTTTGCTTCCAGAAAGTGCATTATGAATATTTTTAATTATTATATATCTCCCATCCACAAATAAATCCCAGGAAATCCATGTAAAGACAAACAAAATTTTTCTACAGAATCCTACAGAGATCTCCACGTGTCAAAAGCACAGCCTTGAATTGCTCTCTTGTGGAGTCCTGTAAAAAATGCTAGCCACCCTCAGGCTCAGCCTCAGTTCAAACCTCGGAGTCTTTTACTTGCAAAAAAAAAGCAGTCAAGGTTTAAGGAACAAGAAAATGGCGGGTGCCATTTCTGTTTCTTCGCCAAAGCCGTCAATTCTGCAGAGCCCAGTTTCTGTGAAGGACCCAAACTCAAATTTTCTTGGTGGGTATTCTTCCTTTAACAGCGTTTGTTTACAGTTGAAAGCCAGAAGCAAGAAGAGACGAGAGATTCTTAGCTTGGTAGTTGCTTCAGCCAATACTGCCATTGACAGTAATAAGGGAGGAAGGTTTTACCTCAACTTCACTGGGTTTCCTTTTCCTCTCGGTCCTTTTCTCAATAGGCGTACTATTAGGACTGAGGTCAGTTTCTTTACAGTATTCTTGGTTTTGTTAGATTTCAATGATTTCTCTATCTTTTCATGGATTACCTTTTCATTAAATTGTGAAGAGAATAGATGAAAATTTGATTGTTGTGTATAGTGTGAAGAATATATAGCAAGGGGGTATTTGCACGATTATCATTTTCCCTGTTTTTCTATCATCTTCCAGAATTTCCATGGCATAAATTTGAAAACTTATGTTGTAATATCTCGATCGCAGAAATAATCTTTTGGCTTACACGCTCACATCAGGATTATATTTAAGCTTCTTCTCTTTTCTAAATAAATATTGCATAGCGTTCTTTTAAGTCTTCATAAATTCTACTTTGACTGAAATTTTAATCAATCTTTTAATTGTGGAATTATAGGTTCATAAGTTATTATTCTGTTTTCAAGTTGAAAAACCTGCTTGTAAAGGAATAATGGCTTGTGAAAAATAATTATTACACTAGCCTTTCTTATTTTATTTATTTTAAGAAGTTACAGGTCTCTAAGAGCTCCATCTTTGGTCTGCCTTTCATCTGATGATTTGTTCCATTGCATTTCAAAAATTTCTTTCTATGCTATCTCCTCTTTCAGCGAATCAGCAATGACCTAGTGTTCCATCTGCATATGTTTTCTTCCTTAAGCTTTGTTCTATTCAAATTAAGAAATATAATTAAATGGAGAACAGTTTTCTGGATTTCTTTCTCTCCCTTCTGAATTGGAAATTACAATCAAAAAGCTTTTTCTCATATTTCTATCAGTTCATTAAAGTCCAAGAATAAATTAAACCGGGTATTGCACCAAGAACTTTACTTGTGATTGTGGCTGTCATCTCACCTCACTTCATGTTTCGTTCAGGCTGTGAAAGACTCCATATGGTTATTTGAGCAAGAGCAAGCATTAGGATTCAGCAGTGTTTCGACAAACATTAGAATGACGGTCATCAAACTCAAATCTGGAGGGTTATGGGTCCATGCACCCATTGCTCCAACTAAAGAGTGTATCCAGGTTTGTTCTTTTTCCTTTTTCTCAATAGTAATTATTTAAAATTTTTTTGGTCTGTTTCATAACTCTCGTCTTTCTCTCTCTTTATCTCTCTCTCTCTCTCTCTCTCTCTTTCTGAATGAATGTGATAAAAGCCAATAAATCAAGAGATAATTTGACAATCAAAATAATTTGAAAGCGTTTACTTATCTCTAGGAATCTGACTTCTTGTAGAAGTCCAATTTCTATATAGATTAGTATTTTAGGTATCATGAATAAAAATCAATGAATACAAAATTTAATTATAGATTTTCATTATTTAATCTGCTTAATCCCCTTTTCTTGTTGACATTCATAAACATCGAATTCTTTCTTGAAGAAGGTGAAGTCTTTGTTCTTAACAGCTTATCAAGGAATTGGGAGCACCAGTGGAATATATTGTCCTACCTACATTTGCTTACGAGCACAAAATTTTCGTTGGTCCATTTTCTCGCAAATTCCCCAATGCTCAAATATGGGTGGCGCCAAGGCAATGGAGTTGGCCTTTAAACTTGCCACTTGAATTTTTTGGGATTTTCCGCGCAAGGACCTTGAAGAATGAGGATTTGTCCACCCCATGGGCTGATGAGATTGAGCAGAAAGTTCTAAGCTCACCGGAAGTTGGTAAATGAATAAACTCTTTCTATCTAAAATGTTTTAACTAAATCAGAAATATAACTCCTTTGTTTGTGATGGTGGATTATTTCAGGAATTGGGCCTTATGTGGAGGTTGCATTCTATCATAAATGTTCAAGAACTCTACTCGTTACAGATGCTGTGATTTTTGTCCCAAGAAAGCCACCTGAGTGTATTGGCAAAGAAGCTTTATTGGCCTCAGCAAAAAATGGTTTGGCTGTAAAACTTCTGAGCAAAGGAAAGGAAGTACCTGATGAACCAGTTGTTGACAATAAGATGAATCGTCAGAAAGGTCAGTTCTCTTGTCTTGAACTCCATAAGAGAACAAATCTAGTCTTCCCTGATAAATGAAATGCTAAACTCAAAGTGCAACTTGGGGAGGTGAGCATGCATGCAAGTGCTTCACTTGATTGAGACACATTCTTTATGCAGGGTGGGAAAGAATGGTTCTTCAAATCTTGTTCCTGGGTCCATCTAATCTGTTGGAACCTAATGCCAGCTTTGCTCAAATGTCGCAGAAACTAATTGTGTCTCCTATTGTTAAGACACTGGTCTTCAGCAAAGTTCCTGAAAAGGTAAAAAATCATCTGACCTTAATTTTTCACTAGACCATGCCTTTATAGGCCAGAGGCTGAGGGACGGAGGAGATGTTAAATTTAAATTTGCAATCTTGTTTTTTGCTTGAGATGGATTTGTGAAACTCATGTTAGTTGGAATCCTGTAAATTTCACCCAGTATAATTGATCACTTTTCTTAAAAATTTGTCAGGTCAGAGATTGGACTAATAGCATTGCAAGAGACTGGAAATTCAGAAGAATAATCCCTGCTCATTTTGCAGCTCCAATAAATGCAGGGAGGTCTGAGTTCCTTGCTGCATTTGGCTTTCTTGATGATCTTCTTGGTGAGAAGTACATTACTAGACCTTCGTTATCTCATGTCTTTGCATATCTCATGGGAAAGGCAGCTAGTTATTTCCCACCAGATGACATGAGAACCTTATCATCCCTTGACCAATTCTTGGTCTCAGTTGGAGCAGTGAAGAAAACTGTATCCGGCCGCAAGCAATGATATAGTATTGCAGAATTATGCTTTAACTGCAAAGTTCCACCCTCTTATACGTACAAACATATAGTTGCAGGATTAGGGTAAAATGAGCCTTGTCCTAAAATTCTCCTATAACTTCACTTTCCGAGAAGGAAATATAGTTTTCTGTACATCATCCATATATTTTCATTACAGAACAGAATGTAGCATTTTGAGCTATATTGCTTTTTGAAGGAGAATCTTACTATTTTACCATGATGATTTGAGAATCAAGTTACCATAACTAGTACTTTTTACCTCTAGATTCAGAGGAGTATTATTAGAGTTTTTTCTGGAGAGAAATTTCTTGTTTAGCAGCTGGGCCCTTGTCACATCCTACTGTTTTTGGCTTACAAAGAAAGCAAAAGACAAAAGCAGCTGGAGAGAACCTTCAGTAGGGTCTATTTAAGCTATTGGTTTTATATTCTTATGTCCATGGAATTGAGAAGAAACGCAATGTAACTTGGAGAATTGAGAGTTCAGATGATACCAAAAGAAGGGAATTGTTTGTTTTATTGTCCTAGTTTAGATACAATTCTTAAACTAGGATTAAGTAAAAAACAAAGAAAAATAGGTAAAGGAAGTCTAGGAGTTCATCTTTTTAATACATATAATTAGATTTTTGTGATGTTAACAATATTGGTGTTATTCTAAAAAATTAATAGAGTTAACAAAACTTTTTCTGAGTTATCATAAAAGAAACTAATCTTAATTTTTCATCTGAAATTGGTGACTGCATTTTTCAAATAAAACAATCAGTTCCCTGAATTTTTTACATTATATCAAATTGATGCACAAGATAATAATAGATGTTAGTTTACTATTTATGTATTTGTTATATAGTAATTGATCACTGAAGGGTAAATTTGTTTCTTTGGTAAAAAAAAATGAAGACAACTAGCAAGAACAACAGGACCAAATTTTCTCCTGTTTCCACAAGAATGACAAGTAATTATATCTGGGTACTGAAAATCTAATCCTGTCAATGAATTTTTTAATGACCCATCAAACTTTAAAACCCTACAAATATAAACAAAGAAAAGAAAGGTTGATTTAATTTCCATAAACATGAAACATGATGAACCCCTACTCTGTGGTTGGAGGGTCAATCTCCTCTACCAAAACAAATCAACAAGGAATGAAATTATTGTATAATAAAAAAAGAACATGGTAGATCTCAAGCTCACATGAATGAGAGAGAGAATCCCAAGTGCTTTTAATGATTAATTTTTAATTTGTCTCTTTTCTCCTTTTACATCTTCCTCTTTTCTTTGTCAAAAACTTTAGGGCATGCCTCCATGTATTGATGCAGCCATTGAAATGATTAAAGAAGAATTCAGCTTTTTTGCCCCACTTCATCAGCCATAGCCTTTTTTTTTTTTTTTTTTTTTTTTTTCTATTGGAAAAGCCAATTCTGCAGCCTTTTTAGGTCATTAAGGAAGTATTTGAAATAAATTTAAATTACAATTTTTTATTTATAAGTTTATAATATATTATTCAGTGTAAAATTTTAATAAAATGAAAAAAAAAGTTATTTTATATGAAATCAGAGTAATGTATTCTGAATTTTTTCATAAATAATAATATATTATTTTAGTTCTACATAAATTTTTTTTTTTTGTCATCAATTGTAAAACAATTTGTAATTATAATTTCGGATCATAATTAAATTAAGTATGAATTCATAAATAAATTATAAGTTTCTTTTAAACATAACCTTATCCTTTAAATATAATGATTGTATTTGATTACTTAATCTGAAAACATTTTAATTCATCAGCCCTACTAATGAGGCATGCAGCTAAAAAAATAAAAGAAGAGAAAAAGCTAGTTCAATCTGAAAAAGAAAAATAAAATAATGTTAAACAAGAAGTAAGTTAGGAAGTACTAATGATGATAATAATGAATCAATTGTTAATCCTATTAATTAAATTAGGTATTTAAGTTTGTTTATGGCCTCTAATCTAATCTAATCTACATCTTAATTTCAATTGCAAATGCCCTAATTACTTAATCATATCTTGTGGACTCCATCTCATGCAATCAAAAATTATATTGTAATACCTTGTTTGGTTCGTACGACAAATCGTCTCTTTTTTAACATATTAAAATATTTTATAATAATTTTTATTATTTATTTAAATCTTTATATTTTTTATTTGATCATTTGTTTTGAGTACAACAAGAGGTAATAAGATAATAAAGAGATTATCTTGTTCGTTTTTTAATTTCAAAAAAAAAATATGAGGAGAAAGAATAAGATAACGAGGAGATGGTATAATATTTAAAGATTTAGGAATTTATGATATTAGAATTCGGAAGACAGTGAGGCTTTGTGGAAGAAGATGATAAGAAGCAAGGAAAGCAATGGAAATGAATTTTTTTTTTTGGATACAAAGAAAAAATAACATTTTAGTGCATATTTCATGTTTAGATATTATACATTTTAGGGAAAGAGACCCTGACGATATCCTCTCTAATGATGTTAAAAAATTTCTTATAAGAGTGCTGTAAATGATAATTTCTGGAGAGGGGTGAGGGCCAGTGAAAGATCTAATTCGCCAAGTAGTTAACATATCGATTCTTTTCACAATAAATATATTATATTTTGACAGTTCAATCATCGTTTTTTTTAATCTAATAAAAAATTTGATTTTTTTAATTTAACGTGACATTTATATCATTTACCATATCATTGTTTACTATCTTAATTTTGACGTATAAATAATCACATATTCGGAACTTAATAATTCATAAGTGACAGTTAAGACTAAAAGCGACTTTGATAAAATTATAAAAGAATATGTCAAAATAGGTATAAAAAAAAAAGAAGAAAAAGAGCATAAAGATTTAGATGAAAAAATCAAATAGTTATGTACCTAAAACTTAACAATCTATAAACAATTATTATTAGGGAAGAAGAAATCAATAAATATTTAAAAGTATAAAATTAAAATATGTAAAAAAATAAGTATATAAACTTAAATTAAAAGAAAAAATCAAATAGTAGAAGGTTTATTAGGATAATTTGGCTCTTCTTTAATCTTTCTTTTCATTGTTGATGATTAATTAATTGATTATTAATGTTTAAGCTTCGTGATTTCCATCTGCAAAAACGTAATCTTCATTAAAGAATTTAATGTATTATTAATTTCTCTTTAGCAACAATCATTATTCTAATTTGGTTTGATGAAATTGGTGGTGAACATTTTCCTCTTGACCCAAAAAAAAAAAAAAAAGATTACCACCTTAAGAAAAGCATTAATTAAAGAAATTGAAAACAATAAAATATTGATTAAGAAACTTATGACACATTTACATTCATCTGAACAAAAAAAAAAAAAATTATTATTTCCTAAACATGAATATTTAATTTAATCTGATTAATTTTTTTTTCTTTTTTTCCAAATTTTAAACAATAATTTTTAGTTATATCTTTCTAATTTTGAACCAATAAATACCTCAAGTAAATATATCAATTTTTTTTTACTCTTATTTGATAGTTTAGGTAGGCAATTTTAATTTATTGAAATGTAATTTTTTTAAAAAAAAAAATTCAATAAGCATTAATATTAATTTTTTTAGGTAATAAAATGAATTTTTTTTTTTTTAGTGTAAACATTCATTGAACGCGTATATTAATTATAATATAATAAATAAAAATACATAACACGATTTAAATTTATAATTTTTTATTAAAAAAATATCATAGGTAATAATATTAAGTTATTATATGTACATAATTTTCATTAAATCATTTCCATAATTACAAAGTAAACATGGAAATAATACTTAAAAACATTGCACCCTTTTGATTCCCTTTCCCAAACAAGTCCCTAAATTTAATTTGTTATAATCTAATTTTAAGTCCTAAACAAATTATAAAATTCTTAATAATCCCTACCTTTCACAGTTTTTTAGGGCTCATCTCCTATTCTCTCTCCCTCTAAATCTATACGTGACAGCAAAACTGTATAAAACACAGACATCTCTCTTTCTCTCTCTGCAACAAACGCGCAAAGCAGAGTAAAGCCCAAGAGATCAAATAAAAACTGTTAAAGGCAGTTGCTTGCACGATCTCCCAAGCAATTGAAGCCCCCCCCTTCAAAAAAGAAAAGGGTTGGGGGAGTTGGGGGGCGTGGGGAAAGAAGTGTGCCCTTTAATCGATTGCTAGAGAAGCTTCCAATACATACCCGCTGCCTTTTTCTTCGGCTTCTGGTTAATCAGAACTTGTAAGCTCAAATAAAAACTTCCCTTCATTTGCGCCTTGTTATCGGTTTTTGGGTCGTTTAAATTGTTTTTATTTGGAGAGAATTAACAGGTGAATTTTTGTTCTGTATGCTCTCTGCGAAAAAGGGTGTGCCTCGAAATGGGGTTTTGGTGATGGGTTTGGCTGAAGAAAGGATCTTTTTGCTCCTGGTAATATCCATGTGTTGTTGGTCTTTTTCTTTTTCTTTTTCTGTGACTTTTTAGAAAATTTTTAACAAGTTGTCTTGAGTGCCGAAGTGTTTTTGGTTTGTTTGAATATGTAATCTTCTTTTTGCTTTGCATTTCTTTATACAATTTTGTCGAATAATGATATGGAGGTGTCTTTTTTGGAAATTGATTTTCATTGAATGGGGGATTTAATGAGTGAATTATAATTCTCGGTGATTGGGACTTCACATTTTTTTTTTTGTTTAATTGGAGATTTAGGTTATGTTTGGAGGAAATTACGTTTTTCTGTAGAACTCATTGGAAAGTCAATGATATTTGTAATGTATTGCTTTAATTTTTTTCATTAGAATCCTTTAGAATGTGAATTTTTCATTATTTTGAAAAGAATTTTCATCTCTCATAGTAAAGGCAGTTGTTTGATTTTTGTAATGAATTCCACAAATGAAGATGATCATATGTTTTAAACATAACCTTAAGAGCTTATGTTCTTAATTACATTGCATCTTAGAAAAGGAAAAGAAAATCCTCGATTTTGATAATTGATTGTTCTGGATATTGCTTTATTCAGATTGAAAAGGACTTAAATTCTACTCCGATAATATTTTCTGCGTTTGATTAAATTAATGAAGCTGGGTTTAGGCAAATTCCCTTCTGCTCTCGCAGTTAGGGTTGATTTATGGTGGCTAGTTATGATAGTTGATCGTATTAGAATGACTGATGGTTTGGCATTCTTGATTTCTTGCATATATCAACTGGTTCCATATGTGAACTTGTTCTGTTTCTGTGTGGGTTTCCTTGCTTGGTTCTATTGTGCTTGCATTTGATAATTACTTTTAATAGGTCCTGGTTTGGTTCTTTAGCCTACTCTCTTGTTGTTGTAATCTCATTGGGATCTTTTTGTTTTTTGTTGTGAAAGGAAGAAAAGAATGCATCAGACTGGGGTTTTACTATTTATCTTAATCACTGGTGGTAAATATTTGAAACTATTTTGAAAAGAAAAGTAGAAAATATGTGTGGGGAGCTTGTGCTTCTCTGCTCTCTCTATTGACTGTATATGCTTTCATTTGGTTTCCAATGCTGCAAAATCATAGACATCCATTTTTGCATGCTTAGTTCAGCATGACAAACCCTGTCTAACTCATTTTTTCTTCAGGCTGAAGATCCTTTGGAATTTACTTCCCCTAGAGGCTGTTTTTTTGCACAACAATAGGACAGATCTTGGTGACTTCTCTTCCTTGTTCTGCTTTTGAGGTATCAGTCTTGATATTCTAGATTTTTTATTTCTGTTTCTATTTTTTTTCTTTCAACAAAAAAAATCAAACTATCATAAAAAAAAACAATTGTGGTTGGTTTTCAGGTTTTGCCAATCCTAAAATTTTGTTCTCATCTCTTACCTATTTGATGGCCGGGGAAAGTAGAAGCTTGCCTGGGACACCAGAAATAACTAAGAGAGATGGGGGTGACTTGAGAAGAAGCTCTATGGGTAAAGAAAGTTCTTCTAACAGTAGAGAAAAAGTTCCCCCTCATTACCTAAGAGCTTCAACTGGTTCTTGTCATGATTTCTGTAAATATGGGAGGAAGCATGTATTAGAAGAAACAAAGGCAAGACGTCCCATGCGAAAAAGAATGCCCGCCGAACTAGCTGGTGGCAGAAACTCAGTGGAGATCTTGAAGTTACCTCAGAAGGAGAGAATGTCAGTTGTCAAGCCCAACCCTTCTCCTAAGCCCAGAACACATATGCATAATACATCTGAAGTAATCAAGAAAGAACTGCTTACAAAATCTCCAAACAATTCCTCTGTCATCACCAAGCCAGAAGTGTCAACCAAATCACCTAATGACCAAAAATCTTTGGGGAATGTGGTTCTATCAGAGAAGAAGGTGTCGGCGGTCAAGTTTAAACATATACCACCCAGTTCAAGATCCCATCGTCCTGATATTGTCAAGCGGGAACTGCGTAGAAAATCACTTGGTGATAACTCTGATATTATCAACTGGGACATGTCAAAAGAATTGCCTGACGGCCAAAATACTACAAATAGTTTGGTTCAGTCAGAGAAGAAGACATCAACGGTCAAGATCAAACCTGTACTTAGTGCAAAAGCTCATCAAACTATATCCCCTAAACTTAGAAAGCTGAAACTGCCCTTGAATCCTGAAACAGTAGAGGCTTCCGCGAGACAGGTCCCATCAAAAGCCAAAGAGAAAAACCAGTTATTGGGGCGTGCTACTGCTTTGAAACTGAAATCTGCCAAAGAGAAGCCATCAACTTCTTCTGACTTTTCAGGAGGTTTAAAAGGAAGAACAAACAGTGACACCAAGATAGGAAAGAGGAGTGGATTCTCCAAATTAGTTGTCAAAAAAGTATCGGTCCCCACAAGTGCTTCATTGACACCACGAAGAGCTTTATTGTCTCCCAAGCTTAATCTGGTTAGAATTGGAAGCCTAAATGCACGGAAGAACAAGAATTTGAAAGTTTTGCTTTCTCCAAAGAATCAGATTAAGATAAAAAAGGCCGAACCTGAAGAATCGAAGGATGGAGCTATCTGTGAGAGCAGTGATCCAATCCAGGAAAAAACTTTGTACGTCATTAAGATGGAAACTGAGGAAAAACTTTTGGAATCTCATCAGAATGAGAGGTGTGCTATTGACTCATCTCCCACCCCATCATCTTCATCACCCCAATTTCCAGTCCTCTCATCTCCATCTCCTCCATCTCACAATGAAGGAGATCAAGAGGAATCTGAATGTACAGTGACTGAAGGAGAAGATGATTCTTTATCTGAGAATACTGAAACCATGAGCACAGAAGAAGCTGAAACTTCGGAAGAGGAAAACAAACTCAGGCTGAGAAAGGGTGGATTAGTTTCTTCTGAGGACAAAGGACCAGCAGCCTGTGAAATTACATTTCAGAAGAGGAAAGGTGGTTGACATTCAGTCTGAGAATAATAACAGTCCAAGGAGGCTTAAGTTTAGCGAGGAGGTGCTGGGGGAGAATGAAAGGCTTAAGGCTGAAGCCCGAAGAAGCTTCAGGAGGAGAGTTGTTGATGGTGGTGATACAGCAGACAGCAAACCTGGTGCAGAAAAAGTTGTATTGAGACATCAAGATGTGCAGCAGGGGAAGAAGGATGCGCAAGGACTTTTTAACAATGTCATTGAAGAAACAGCTAGTAAACTTGTTGAAACCCGGAAAAGTAAGGTGAAGGCCCTGGTTGGTGCTTTTGAAACAGTTATCTCCCTCACAGGGAGCAAGCCATCTGCAAACACTGATTCATGAATTTAAAATAACTTTCTATATTGACCGTGCATTTCTTGTGCCAAAGAATAGGATAATAAGTCTAAGCTTGTGACATGAGAGGTGATTGCAAGCTTATGGAGTTGAGGAAACGTAGACAGCTTCAGTTAACTTCAGAGAGTGTGGACATAAAATCAATTGATGGGTGAGTTCTGTTTACTGATCTCAGAATATTTTATACATTGGCTCGATAACATACTCTATTTCACTGTCTTCAATTTTCGTAACTAATATGATGATTGATATGTACCTTGTGAATAAACAAATGTTCTAATAGGATATACTCTTGAGACGGAAAAAAAATAAGCATTGTAATTGAGTTGCTCGGTTGAGTCCTCTTTTGTTGGCTCGCCAAAAGTTTCTCCTTTTTTTTTTCTTTATTTCTAATACACTTGGATTCGTTCTTGTTTGGTTTTAGCTATTGACATGGGTCAATGGAATTTGGTTATTTTATAAATGTTCAGCACATAGCATTGTCAATGGCATGCTGTTATTCTCACTATTAAGAAAAATATGACAACAGCAAACATCTTTGCATCCTTTCGGAAATAAAGTTGACTGCTTCCGGACAGAACAGGTTTTCACCATTCCCTCTTTTATATTTTTTTCAGACTCCACAATCCCATCATTTCTTCATCTGGTTGGTAGACATCTATCCGGTGATATATAGAAGATTTTGATTGGTGGAGTTACTTGTCAAGGAAATATAGAAGCTTTTTTTTTTCAGTTAGTACTTTAATGATAAGATTAAGAAAGCCACAAGTGAGCAATTGATGTTCACTGGTTAAATATGCCAAGAACAAATTTCAAAAGTTGTATGAATTCACATATCTGTGAATCTTAACATTTATATGTGTAAGTTTTATTGAAGAGAAAATAGGAGCAAAATCATGGTTCAACTAAACTATTAATGATGATGCATTTAAAAAAAAATTACATGTCAAGCAATTTATTCATTTTTTAATCTAAATAAATGATGTATATATTTATATATATATATATTATATACATAAATTAATCTATTGAAAAAATATAAAATTTAGTTTATTAATATTTTGGTATCTTTATATGTTATTATGGTTAAAAATGGTTTAACAAATATACCATTACGTATCAGTTTGAAGAATTATATAGCATTTTAAGTGAGAAACAAAAAAGTTAATCCACTAAAAAGATAATTAATTAAAGAATTAAACAAGCACAGTAATTTACAAAATCTTCGTAATGACACGTGGACAGCCAAAAGATGTTACAAGATTCTTTATATGAGCTATGTGGCACCCAGTATCTTGCCACCTGACCTTTTGACGTTCCGACAACAGTAAAATATGGGCTAATACTTCAGAACAGCCAACTCTTGACAAATCCAGAATAATCTCCAATTATTTATCGCCACGTGTAATCCAAAGCCCGTCGAAGAATGTCTTTCGGCGCCACGTCACTTTATCTTCACGTGGCTGTAATTTATTCGCCGTTGATATTAAATAAATAACCCGCCTGTTACTCCACTAGTTCTGAACATATTTAATATTTCCTTCTCTGATATGGAAGGAACCCATAGCGTCTTCTTTTTCTCCTTCCCTCACACTCATTCTCTGCATTTAGCTCTTCTGTCGTCGATGACTCTTTTTCCTTTTTGACGAAATTGCCTTTCTGCAAATGCGGGGATTACGATTTTATTTCTGGGTGTAGGTTCTCAATTTGCTTCCTTTTTCTGATTCACTTTTTTTATGGTTTTATTTACCGTTTGGCACTTGTAAAACCCTAATTTCTGTACTGTTTGTACTGTGTAGAGTTCCGTTTTTCTTGTAATGATTTTGGGACTATGCACAGAGAGGATATCGTCAGCTGAGGTGAGAAATTGGGTCTTGATAACTAAGATCTATTCAGGTAGAGCGTACTAATTTCATATGTTTTCGGCGGATGCTGATATACTTAGGGTTTTGTAAAAGCCTGATTTTTAGTGGGAATTTTGAGGAGCCAAGACTGATGAAGTGAACTGGGTTTCTTTTTGGTTACGCGTCTGTTTTAATATTTTATTGAAAATGCCTTTAGTTGTTGAGAAAGGTTTTCTGGATCTGATATTTTATCAGTGACTAGCCTTGAACTACTTTTTGGCGAAAGGTATTTTTTTTACAATTGTGTTTGGTTGTACTTAGGTTCTATAAGAAGAAAGAGAAAGAACTGTGGTTGGTATAAATTATATGATGAGGGAAAATAATCTTCAAATGCATTGAGTTCTAGTGAACTTTTAAGTCTCCCATTTTATTCCAGTGGTGTTTTTGAGTTTATACTTATCTGATACATATATCATATTCCTTTTTCATCTCTTGTATACAGAGTTTTTGAACTTCAGTGGGCTTCTGATTTTTTCTTTTCAAGCTGATTGCTTGCATGGTACTTCCTGGTTTCTGAATTTGGATACACTTTTATACTTAACTTTAAGGCCATTCTTCGTAACTGAAAGTAGAATTATGTCAAAGGAATTCCAGTAAGATATACTCTATTCTATCTGTTGGAGAGCGTTGGTTTGTGCATATGGTTGGAAAGAAACAAACGATGCATTTGGTTCTGTGCATGTTTTAAGCTTTTTTTTTTTTTGAGAAACCATGCATATTCAGACTTCAGTGTCTCTGCAAGCATAAGAAACTGAGTAACTGTTGTTATTTATCTACATTTTTTCTGGAAGTTAGGTGAGAGCCTTAGCTCTTTCTTCTAGACAACAATATGTTACAGTCCTTTGTAGCCTGTCGCGGCCATACACTTTGAATTGCATAATTTGAATGGCAATTTGATCTCTTGAAATCATGATTCTTTCTATTTTGCACCGATGTACTTTTGCAAAGTGTTCTCCTTTTTGGTCGAAGAACTCTTCATTCTGAAGCGTGTAACTAGTAGAGTTGTTCTCAGTGGATGCCTAAGCAAATTAAGGTCCTTTGGCAGATGATATGAGAAAGGTCCTTTGTTCTTACTTGTTTTGCTCTAATAGAATTAACTGATTTAACAAGCAAGTGGCTTTAGATTAATGTCACATTATCTGCACTGTGTTTACATGCACTTCCAAAAAATTCTCTTACGAAAGTCAAATCTCTTCATCAGTTCATAGTTTAGGGCTGCTATGAAATTTTTGGTCGAAAAATGTGGTCATCCATTCTGAAGGTTTACTTGGATATCTAAAATTGTTTATTGGAGCTTGAACTTATGACTTTTTTTCTTTCTCTAGGTGGAGACAATGATTCTGACAAAGCAGTACCGCTGCATACATTCAGCAAACTGTCAATGCACGAAAGGACATCTGAGTGAAGAACTGATATTCCTAGTATTCCAGCAATTGAACTGGAACCCTAAATTGATTGCTGCTCTGTCCTGTGTATGCAAATGGTTTGATGATCTTGCTAAGCGGATACTATGGAAGGAATTTTGCCGAACTAGAGCACCAAAGATGATGATTGATCTGCAATCTAGTGGAAGTCACAGTGTTGATGGGAACTGGAGGGCACTTGGAAAGCTGCTTATATATTGTTCAGGATGTACCAAGGGTGGTCTTTTCAACAGCATTCAAATCCCCGGTCATTTTGTTTATAGAACGCGGTTCTCTAGGACATCAGGAAAAAGCTTTCTTCTGCCTCAATGCAGAACAGATGTTTTATATGTTTCTGACCCTTGTGAACATCTTGACCAAGGGGAAGAAGGTGATGTGGGATTTTTCCGCGGGGTCTTCAAATCATTCTCAATGTCAAAGGTTAAGAAGATGCTTATTAAGAAGGGAGCCGAGTTTCATCCCACTGAAGTCTGTCCGTACTGTAAGGCAAAGTTGTGGAGCATGCTGCAAGCGAAAATGATACCACCAAGTGCCAGCTGCAGGTTGGGTGCTTATGAGGATTGCATCGAATATTATGTATGCCTAAATGGACACATGCTTGGGATCTGTACCCTCTTACCCTTGTCTGATTCAGAAGAGGCGTCTGAATTGGAGTGATAGTTAGAACTGAAACCAGGTACTGGCTCACTCCGAGCATTTATATTTCCTTAGATGGGAGTTAAGTCAAAATTCTTAACTAGCTTGGTGAAGTAATCACCTAGGTGCTTGTCAATGCATTTTTGCCTTTAAAAAAATCACTCAAGGGCACATTCCCATCAAGATACAAATTCTAGTGGATGATTACTAAGCCGATTATGAAAATAATCATCTATTAAGATTTTCATGGTAAGGTGGTGGTATAATCATTCAAACACCTAAAAGGGATGCGTGGATAAAGGCTAGTTTTTACCTCCTGCTTTCGAAAAGGTAGTTAATTACTTGAGCTATCTTGTCATTTCCATTATTCCTAAGCAGGGGGTTCAAAGTCATCTGATTTTGCTACTTCTGCATGATCTAACCTAGCATGATAAAAAGAAATTATATGAGAAATTAAACAAAACTCATAATTTTCTAGGGATTTATCTGCATGTCTTGACTGCAGGCTGCTGCAGTTGCTGCTGTTGCTGCTGCTGCTGCATACTCTTACATAAACTGGATGGGACATATAACAGGCTGCCCAATGTAGCTGAAAAATTCACCAATCATAACAACATTCCAAGTCTGCTGCTGCTGAATCTTGTCCTACCCAAATGTCTTGAGTGAAAGGGTTAGAAGCTATGACGAACCGCTTCCTATGCTATCAATCATTACTCCACCGATTGTTGCTGTGAACATGTAATACAATGTACATCTACTATGGTTCTTATATATGTATTTGACTAGCAGAATCACTTCTACAATAGTTCATACAAGTCCTGTTTATCATCAAATCATTTGCATTAACTCGTTGATTCATTGAAATGCAATATTCATACAAATGCCAATCTCTACCCATCTGGCCGTGCAATTTGTACTCATTAAGTTCAGGTTTATAAATTTTACTCATTGTATTCTTAAATTTGGGTTTATAAATTTCTACTCATTGGACCCAACTAATTATGGGTTTCAGATGGATAGCAGGTTATACGCCCCAATACCTATCTCTGCCCATCTGGCCGCCCAATTTGTCCCTTGCAAATTTTGGGGAATACAGTTTTCCGTTCTCAGATAATTTTCAGTTTCCAATTTCAGTGTTATAGAATTTTCAGGCATATAAATAAGAATATAAGTGAATTCAGAAACCTCAATTATCAGTAAGCATCAGATTGTTAATGTGGATATAAACAAGCAGCACAACAAACAATGTCTAAAGCAGACAACAATCTCTAGCTTTCAATCCGTATCTTCTTCAAAATCCAGCCCTGAAATGCTCATCCGTCCAACGTTAACTGCAAAACATGCGAAATAAATAATACAAATTTATATAAATTTCACCAATTGATTACCCAAATCAAAGATCAGATTTAGAATGAAGAGTCTCAAAGTAATCAACATGCTCCAATAACAATCGCAATAACTCAGAAGTTCTGGTGCTGCACGAGGCCACCAGAAACTATTGTTGTTAGAAGATGCTTACATATTTAAACGAGAAAAATGTCATTTTTAAGATCACAAAAAGAAAATGTGATTTTCATGTTTATGGATTTGACTCATGAGATATATTGATGCCCATACTTCTTTCTGCTAACACTGCAAGCGAGGAACTGAATTCTGAGAGATGGGACCTTAACCTCCACGTAACAGGAGTGGTTTGACAAAACAAAATTCACGATCCGCATTGTATATGCGTATTTGAAGAGATTTGTATACTACTTAAAACATAGACCGGTTTGAATTTTCCTTCTTTCGTGAGGTTGACTGCTTCAAGGAGGTTGTTTCTCCTTGAAGTTGTCATAGAGCCATACTAATGCAATTATACCTACAAATTTTCATATTCTGAAAATTCCCAGAACTGTTTGAAGAAGACCAACACATACAATGCGTCAATCATGCAATGATTAGATTGATGAAATGATTAATATGTTTTGCCGCATAAATTACAAATGAAGTATAAGACCAAACTCACACGTTTGAAGAAAACCAAGAGGATGCTGAGACCCAGAATATTGTTTAGACAGCAAAGTTCATTAATGTGAAATATAAGAAAGGCAAACTTACATACCTACAGCATCTAGTCCAGCTAATTTGGGCATGAACTTCCTGATATGTTCTTCTGCTGCTTTCTCGGATTTCAGTGTTTCACACTCGAAGAAAACAGAAATCTTTTTCTCCCCTTGTTTCTGTTCAACCAAGCCCACAATGTCTTTCTCCCAGCTATCCACAAATGAAGGTGACTTAAAAGATAAAGTTTTGATCTATATGCAATAATTAGTTAAATAGACCTTTAATGTAGGGATACATGAGTTTTGTTATTACAGATTAGACTACATTTCAGCTCAGGTTAATCCCAAAAACATACATACTTCTTGGAGAGAGACAAGGCTTTTTTTCACCATTCCTTCCTATCTCTTATCTTTTTCTAATCTTAGATGAAGACAAAGGCAAGCTGCTTTGAAGCATATCTCTAAGACCAAGAACCTAATATGAGAATCATGACTTTTTTTCGAATAAGGTTACAAAGAAATTAACAGGCAATAATAGGTGTAGAATTAAAAGGACCATTACCCATGAGCATGATCAATGTCGTTTAACGTTGCGGCATCATGGCCTTTGCATTCCACTACAACTTCCTGTTCTTTCTTAGTCTGTTACATAACAAAACTCATGAGAGACATAAAAGGGAAATAATAAAAGGGAAAGAGTAAACAGCTCTTACATGGTAGTCTATGATGGTGAGCTTGATCAGTCGGTAATCCTCGCCCCTGCTGCATTCCCTTTCACAAGCTAACTCTTCCATTTATGAGGGAAAAAGGAAATTTTTAATTAAAAAATTAAAAAAACAAACAATAAAGACCCCAGCTCACCATTAACATGATTCAAAGAAAATTCTTCTTTTCATCTTCACAAAAGTAGCACACTTTCCTGTCCTTCCCTCTAAAGTGCAAAATTAAAGGGAAAAAAAAGCATCATTTACATCAAACTCCATCTCAGAAACCCCCAACACCAACAATTATTTCTCATTCACCCAAATCAATCTTTTTTACTAGACTATAAGACGAGTTTGAACAAGAAATAAATACAAAAACATTACATGCAAAAGCCGTTATGGGTTGACTCCATTCATAAAGAAGTAGTAGAAAAGTCAAGAAAGAAGAAGAAAAAGATAAAGGAAACCAAACCAGAGAAGAGCAGATAAAGGAAGGGAATAAAGAAGTAAAGTAATTTTCCATTAATTTTCTTCTTCTTTCCTTTATGCCAACACAGCCCTTCTTCAGAAACTTACAGTCATTACCCTAAATCTATTTCCACAACAAAGTACAAGCATCCAGACATACGATATTGTATGTATATAACTTAAAGGGTACCGGTTCCATGAAGACCGTAGCAGATGGAGTGAGGAAGATGAACGAAGTGGCCTGAAATGGAGCCACATGGCAACAATGCTATCGATGCTATTCCTTCCTTCACTTCTTCCCCTTTTTGTCTCTTTGATCTTTCGCATTCTCCTTGCTCAGCTACAATACATAACTTTTTTCGCTTTAAATCAAGAGATGAAATCAACTGAAAACAGGTAAAAAGAAATTAATAATAATACAAATTCAACTTACCCATTGCTCAAATACTTGTTTCCAGTAGATGATTCTCACTGTTTTAGCCTTCTTTATGTCAACCAGAGAGGGAGAGAGGCCGCGAACTGGAGGTTCCAGTAAATTAGTGTATTTAATAAAAAAATAAATTTTATTTTTAATTTTTAACAAAATTAAAAGAAAAATAGATTCTGAATTAATATTTTTAGTAAATATATGTTAATTTTAAATTTTTATTATTTTAATATATTAAAAAGTTCCTTTCTTTCTTTCTCCAAGCGAAGTTATAAAAGAGCAAACTTTCTTGCTCCGTTTACTGTTTTCAGAAATCAAGCGAAAAGCTTGTAGTTTTCTACTCTTTCACAATCATACAGAGATAATCACCCATTTCTATCTCTTCATCGTTGAACCCCTTTCATCACTGTTCAATAGCTCTTTGCATCAGTCATAATGAGTACTGCTGTAAAACTAATTTTACTCTTCCTATAAATTGCAAGTAATTACTATTTTCTTCCCTTAGAAGACATTACATGGGATGTACGAATAGTTTGTTTCCCTTAGTATTTGGATACAATACGGATACCTTTTAGAATCTTTCCTCCTTAATCCTGTTCTGATGTCAAGAGCTCTGGGATATGGACGTTCCTTTGGGATGTACAATATGCAGAGGAGCTCTTCCACTAATGGAAGGTGAACTACGAGAAATAATACTTTCATATCCAAGTCGTCTCTCCCGCACTTCCAATTGCAAGTGAGAACTGAGCGAGAGGAGCTTGTTTCCCTTTCTGTGTAAGTTTCAGCTTCTTTCCGGGCCTCACTCTCCCTTTCTCTCTCTTGTTTCTGAGGTAATTTGCTTCAGATCAAAAGCCCAGCTCTCTCTTTGATTTCGGGCAAAATCAATTGGTGATTTTACGAATTTCTTTAGTTGCTGTGGTTTTGGTTAGAAGTCTGTCTCCTGGTTTAGAAGGATATATTATCATCATTTCTGTGGATACCTTCTTCTTTGAAGTATTGTTCTTGTTTCTGGAACTGAAAAGAAAAAAAAGGAGGAAAAGAAAAGGCAAATCCAGGTCTCTTAGTTTGGCCATATTAATCTGCGCATGTAAAGAAACTAGTGCTTGGTCTGTTTTCGAATTCTATATTATATAATTTAGTTTAACTTAATCTTATATGGTCATGTAAATATTAGATACCCACCATATTTTATTTTTCATACTTGTAAATCTTTTGAGTTAATGTGTCAAGATGTATATTTAATTCTAACTTAATGATCTTGTACTTATAGTTGTATATTTCGTTTTTGTATCTGTTTATCAAGAAGCATTTGTTTTCTCCCCTTGAATTGCTTAACAATTTATGCTGAAGCTATGGCGTTAGCAGCTTATTGCTAATTGCAAAAGTTGATGTTTCAATAAGACAAGTTAACTTTTGCATATTCAACAAGTGTTTAGTGAATACGTGGTTCTTTGTATTAGTAATAGCATGTACACAGTAGATAACAAATTCTTTCTTTGCCAAAAAAAAAAATTCAATGTTCTTTGTAGTTTTTGGACAGATAAATCGATAAATCATCAATATATAAAACATACAAAAGTTGCTTGTGAGGATTTGGCAGTTTGCTAGGTTAATTTTATGTTTGGAAAAGAGAATTCTAGAAAAAGTATGAAGTTCTTGGTCAGTTCATATATGTGGTTTTCTATGTTAATCAATTCTAGAAATTACATTTCTTGAGATTGATTTAAGTTCAGTGGCTTCTATTAACAGATTTTGTGACAAATTCTTTCTCTAGGCCCACTCCTTAACATCCCTATGTAAGTAAATTTTCTTATACACGCACACACATATTTTCTTCTTATACTTCCTTCTCTTGCAAACTATTTTGTTGACCTTTTTTACACCCAAAAATAATAATAATGTTCTATTGAGAAATATGTGATACTGATGTATTTTTTCTTTGTGAGAAAAAACATAAAACAGCTTGGAAAGGAAAGCTGCCATCAAGAAGAGATTCCGTTGTTGCTCTCAGAAAGGAGAAATATAAAACATAATGTTGTTGCTATACTGATATATATCTTCACTGGCTTGAATTTGATTGCTTCTGTGAAGTTGACCATGGCAGGGATTTTGGCAAATTCGATTTCAGTTGTTGCCACATCAAATGGGCTTGATTGTAAATATATTTACTCGTTTAGTCAAGGTAGTTTTTGGTGTAGAGTCTGTTGCTTGGAGGGTAATTTAGCCGTAAAAAATAAAAGAAGGCGTGAAGGAACCTGCAACCTAAAAGGAACTGCCATGCCTGGGAAGGGGAATTCCTGGTTTGAGTGTACAGGAATGAACTTGCAGGATTTGTCAACTTGGATGGGTAGTCCAACGACAGCATCAAATACCCATTATAATAATGATTCCAAGTTGAATTGCAAAACAGGAGGAAATAATACACTTGTAGAAAGAGGAGAGGAAGAGTTGGACAGTAACTATTTTGAACAGAATTTGCATCCTCAAGACGACTCCATGGCGCAACAGGGGAATAGTTTTGATGCTGGAAGTGATATTGAGTTTTCTCCAGATTTAAAATATAGGTCCATGGAGAATAAAGATAGGCTACATTTTCTTGAGGAAAGAAATGAAGAGATGCTGTCTGGACGGATCTTGACACTTAGCAGATCAAATAAATTTAGAAGTGCATTAGAGCTGTTTGAATCCATGAAATTCTCAGGTCTACAACCTAATGTACATGCCTGTAATTCTCTTCTTTCTTGCCTCTTGAGGAATGGATTCATTAACACTGCATTGAGTGTGTATGAGTTCATGAGGACAAATGACATTTTGACAAGCCATACTTACAGCTTGATACTGAAAGCAGTTGCAAATTCTCATGGCTTTGGTTCAGCTCTTGAATTGTTTGTGGAGTTGGAAAGGGATTCCAAACAGGACATTGATGTAATTGTTTATAACACAATGATATCTATTTGTGGCGGGGTGAACAATTTGGCTGAAACTGAGAGAATATGGAGAAGCATGAAGGATAATGGCCATGTTGGAACAGAAGTTACTTATTCCCTACTAATTAGCATTTTCACCCGCTGTGGACAGAATGAATTAGCTATTGATGCTTATAATGAGATGGTTCTAAATGGACTTAAGCCACGCAATGATTTGATGCATGCTACTATCAGTGCATGCACAAAGGAGGGGAGGTGGGATTTGGCACTGGAAGTCTTTCAGAAAATAATGAATGATGGGTTTACACCGAATCTAGTTGCATGCAATTCAGTGATTAATTCACTAGGAAAAGCAGGGAAAGCGGAACTAGCATTTAAGATATATGCTACCATGAAGCTTTTGGGTCATGCAGCTGATGAATACACATGGAATGCCCTGCTTAGTGCTCTCCACAGGGCGAATAGACATGCAGATGTCTTAAAGTTATTTTATGGCATAAAAGCTGAGCACTGCTCCCAATTAAATGTACATCTCTACAACACTGCTTTGATGTCATGCCAGAAACTTGGTTCATGGGAGAAAGCTTTGCAGCTTCTCTGGCAGATGGAAGCTTCAGGACTTCCTATTTCAGCTGCATCATACAACCTTGTTATTGGTGCTTGTGAGACTGCTAGGAAACCGAAAGTTTCGCTACAAATTTATGAGCATATGGTTCACCAGAAGTGCACTCCAGACACATTCACTTATTTGTCATTGATAAGAAGTTGCATTTGGGGATCTCACTGGAATGAAGTTGAGGAAATTCTAAATGTGAGTTTACATTTCTGACTATCTTACTTTTGCATCCTATTAGAATAAATATCAAAATTAAAGACATTGTTGTTATTGTTGGTTCCTTTTTTTTTGAATTATTGCATACTTATTGGTTATTTGTTTGCTTCATGGCAGAGGGCACCAAACGTATCACTATATAATGCTGCTATTCACGGTATGTGTTTAAGAGGCAAATTTGAGTCAGCAAAGAAGCTTTACATAAGAATGCGGAAGATTGGCCTTAAACCCGATGGCAAAACATGGGCATTGATGCTTCAATACTTAAAGAAACATCCCAAGTGAAGTGGTGGTTTGTCATGGTAGACAGATTTATCAAGTGTTATTCCCGAATGTCAAAGGGCAAAGTACATTTGAAAGGTAATTGAAGTCCACCTATGATCATGTTTAAGTATGTATAATGATGGGTGTGTCTGCCAAGCAAACCATACGTGTCGAAGAGTGCATGTATAGTCGAATTAGAGTTCAAGGAAGTCAAGTTATAATTGAAGTGCTGGCTTGTACTGTAACTTAGCAAATTAACGGGCCCATGTATGTATGTCATATAACTGTTGTACATATACCACATAATATTTTCTGTTTTGTACTCCTCACTCCTTTTCCTCAGCATCTGAAACTGATATGTTACTGAACTTTTTTCTCTTGGTACCAAACCCTAGTTTCAAGATATATGTCAGTAACATAATTCCTGTTTCATCCTTAAAACAAATCTTTGATGTTTGTTCAAGATCTCATCCATTGCGTCTCAGAGAAAAGAAAAAAAAGATCTCACCTATTGGCAATTGGCACATAGAAATTAAATACTTCCAAGTATAATAACAAGAGGACTCGACTAATGAATTGATAAAAAAATTATTAGCAGTTTATTGTATTTAAATATTACATTTGAGAGGAAATATAAATCCTAATTAGCTGATTATGTTGATGTGTAAAAGAAACAAACATATAGCTCCAGAGAATTTTATTCTAGACTTGGAACTTGGTGATAAAGTGATGAATGCGTGTGGTGATTTGTTTTGATTTCTCTTCCATGATGAAATGAACTACTCCTTTCATGATGACAACTTTTTTCAGAAATGGAACATCTTTCTTGAAACCACCATCATCTATGTATTCCTTCACTCTTGGAGTTGTATAAACCGAGTCAACATCTCTCACAATAAACTTCACTGGTACTCTCACTTGCGTTCTATTCCATAGCTATGTTAGCTCCCATTTTCTGCACCCAACAAAGAAGTATTCAAATGGGTTTTCACTTGAATTTATGAAGGAAATAGATTTGTAGCACAAGAATTTGCAAATAGCTTACAAATTCATAGCTCAATAGTGGTTCACCAATAAAGCCGTTTTGCTCCAATCTAGTGACATAATAGCTAAGATCTTTCTCTGTCAACTAAAGGGGCAAGCAATTGGAGTACCTGAATGTGTGTGAAGGAGTCTTTTTAATCGAGGTGGGAGGACTTGTTTAGTGACCTGTCGAAAGTCTTCTCAAAACTTGTCTTGTTCCTTCAAGTTTTTTCGGATTCCTAAAATATAAGTACACGACAGTTTAGTTAGCAATAACTAATATAATGTTAATTATGAACATATATAATTAATTAGTTAGTCATGATTGAACATATTTAAAATAGTTAAAAGTACCATACTTGAAATCTGCAAATGTGATAGTTATCTCTAATGTAATAGTTATAAGTTCCATTACATTTATGTGGGAAATAATTTTATTTTCCTACTCTTTAAAGGATACATGTAATTAAGGTTTTTCCTTTTTAGTTTAGTTTCCTTCTGTGACTTCCTCTTGTCCTAAAATATTATTGTATCGTATATACTTGCAGTTTTTCTCCTTCTTAGATCAATTTTCTTTTTAGTATTTTGATACGATACCAATCCTTTAATCCTCTTCTGTAGGATCTGAAAACAATGTCAAGAGCTCTGGAATCGATAGACAGATTAACCATTCATAAAGAAGGCTCTTCCCAAATACCAGACTTCGTTCTAAGTCTATTACAAGTAAGCCCAACCAAGATGTCACAACCCCTCGAAAGAAAATGACAAGTATCTTCTTATTTTTAAGAAGCGGAAAGGGAGAGACCAGATCAAATGTCAAGCTTCTAATTTCTTTTGGTAACTGTATACATACACAATGCTTTCTCCGCAAAATTCTTGTGAAACCTATAAACAGGTAAGTAAAGCTAAATACAATATTTAGAGACTCTGGGAAAGAGCTTCTTGCCCTTCTGTAGCTTGCTTAACTGACTGAGTTTCAAGTCTGGTGAACACCAGCTTTTGTTGGGGAAGCTGACCATTAGCAAAGGCTGAGACTTCTGTGTCAATCAAAACAGTATCCTCCTCTTTGAAGTCCCCTCTTAATATGCCTTTGGCAAGTTCATTCTCAACATTCTGCTGGATAACCCTCTTGACTGGCCGAGCACCATAGTTGGGGTCGTATCCAAGACTTGCAAGAAGCTGAATGGCAGCATCTGTCACCTTGATTTTCAATTTACGATCTCCAATTCTCTTCTGGAGTCGCTCCAACTGTAATGGACAAAATTAAATGGTTAGTTTGCTACTCAAGGATAATAGTTTGTCGATAGAATTCACCTAAAAGGTGTTGAAGGTCTCATATCACAAGGAAACGTGTCACAACAGAGTGCATCTAGAAGGATTTCTTCTCTAATCAGTGCATGTGAAAGAAATCTTTTAAGCAGGAATACTTTAACAAGGTATCCCATCAATCAGGCTTCAAGATCAATACCAATAATTAACATAAAAGCTTTTCTAGGACTCGATGGACCAATTAACTTGTACCACTTTTTTCCCTTTAACGTTTTGCTAGGACTATGCTTATCGCCATTAAAAAAAAAGTTAGCAGGTGAAGCAAGAACTCGTCCCCCCTCTTAAAGAACCAATGCATGTTAGATAAATAGTAGGACTGTGCTTATCGCCATTAAAAAAAAAGTTAGCAGGTGAAGCAAGATCTTGTTCCCCTCTTACAGAACCAGTGCATGTTAAGATAAATAGTAGTGAATGCGCATTAAGCTAAAACTTACCTGCAACCTAACAATGCTGCAAATCTGATCACGATCCAAAGGCTGGAAAACAATATACTCATCGACCCGGTTCATAAACTCAGGGCGGAATATTGATCTTGCGGCATCCATCACTCTTGTTTTCATAGTTTCATACGCTACCTCCTTCGACAAGGTGTCATAATCTGTATCCAGTATATACTGCGAACCTACATTTGAAGTCATAATGATGACTGTATTGGTGAAACTCACAGTGCGACCCTGAGAATCAGTTACTCGACCATCATCCAAAATCTGAAGGAAGACATTAAATACATCTGAATGGGCCTTTTCTATTTCATCGAAAAGAATTACCGCATAAGGCCTCCTGCGAACTGTCTCTGTCAATGTCCTCCTTCCTCATTTCCAACATAACCAGGTGGTGCACCAATCAGTCTCGCAACTGCATGCTTTTCCATATATTCACTCATATCAATTCGTACAAGCGCCTCTTCTGTGTTAAACAAGTCGGTTGCAAGAGCTTTAGCTAACTCTGTTTTCCCAACACCAGTAGGGCCCATAAACATGAAACTAGCTATTGGTCGGTGAGGATCTGACAGACCAGCTCGTGAACGCTGAATAGCCTCAGCAACTGCTCTCACTGCCGGGTCTTGGCCCACAACACGCTGATGCAACTTGTCCTCCAAATGTAAAAGCTTTTCCCTCTCTGACTGCTGAAGCTTGGAAACAGGGATACCAGTCCATTTGCTCACAATTTCAGCAATATCATTTTCTGTAACTTCTTCTCTCAGCATAGAGTTTCCAGTACTCATATACTCATCTAGTTCTTTTTCAGCACTAGCAAGTTGACGCTGCAAAGAGTTCAAACTCCCATATTTGAGTTCTGCAGCACGATTGAGATCATACTCCCGCTCTGCCTGCTGGATCTCAACATTAACTCTGTCTATCTGTACCAACAAACAAAACAAGCATAATGTTACAATCAGTCTCACGCCTTCGGACATATTTTACTCTTGTAAGACCAAGTACATAGTGGAATAGAAAACAAAATCAAAACGATGGAAACCATAGTCACAAACCTCTTCTTTAATTGACTGGATGCGAGTCATGACAGATTTCTCATGCTCCCACTGCTGAGTCAGCTCGGCTTGTTTCACCTTTAATATTGACAACTCAGCATCAAGTCGGTTCAGCCTATCTTTTGTAGCTTTGTCTGTATCATTTGTAAGTGATAGCCTCTCCATCTCGAGTTTCAGTACTGCACGATTGATCTCATCAAGTGCAGTGGGTTTGAAGTAATTTCCATCTTCAGTTTAGCTGCTGCTTCATCAACAAGGTCAATAGCTGCATTTTGAGACTATATCAGTGCCATCATCAATTGAAAAATTTTAAATAAAGAAGATTTATTGTTTGTATATATTTACCTTTGTCAGGTAGAAAGCGGCCGCTAATGTAACGATCAGACAGAACTGCAGCTGCAACCAGTGCAGTGTCAGAAATGCGGACTCCGTGATGCAGCTCATATCTTTCACGTAGTCCACGCAAGATAGAGATTGTATCCTCAACTGAAGGCTGATTAACATAAACTTGCTGGAAACGACGCTCCAGTGCCGGATCTTTTTCAATATATTTTCGATATTCATCGAGTGTTGTTGCACCTATACATCTCAACTCCCCACGACCAAGCATTGGCTTCAATAGATTTCCCGCATCCATTGCACCATTAGTAGCACCTGAAAAGATATAAGAATCTTCATTCTAGCCATCTTTATCCAAAAGATAAATGCTTAAGGAACAAGCACAACCATTCATATTCAGCTATCTTTCCAGGCACTGAATAACCAGCCAACTTAAAGGCATATATACCTGCCCCAACAACTGTGTGGATCTCATCAATGAACAGGATAATCTGGCCATCCGATTCTGTTACTTCCTTAAGTACAGCCTTCAGTCTATCTTCAAATTCTCCTCGATATTTTGCCCCGGCTATGAGTGCCCCCATGTCCAAAGATATAAGCTGCAAAAAGAAAAAATAGTTTTGATTAAACTTTGGAGTAATTCTATAGTACAGTCAAACTACGTCAAGGAGTATGTGCCTCACTTTTAGCCCTATAAGAGCCAAGCAAAAAAGAAAAGATTTCACAAAAATTAGGATGCAGCATGTACCTTTCTGTTCATCAGAGCTGAAGGTACATCCCCTTCCACAATTCTCTGGGCAAGCCTGTTAAAAGCACAGGGAGTACAGGAAGACCAATATCACAATTTATTCAATCCCAAATCAAAAAACATCAAAAGTAAAAACAAACATGTAAATGCTTACCCTTCCGAAATTGCAGTTTTTCCAACACCTGGTTCACCTATTAGCACGGGGTTGTTTTTAGTTCGCCTTGATAGAATCTGGATGCATCTGCGTATTTCATCATCTCGTCCTATTACTGGGTCAAGTTTTCCTTCTCTTGCCATTGCAGTTAAATCTTTCCCATACTTTTCAAGTGCCTCATACTTCCCTTCAGGATCTACAAAAAGCTCACAAGGTGAGACAAGTGAGACCAACTTACCTAAAGAACACTGAACACAACATAGAACACGTAAAGCTTCCAAGATCTGCAACCAGCCAGGTACTTAAGTTTCACTCCAAAAACCTTATGACACGAACATTCCTACAGCAGGAAAAAAAAAAAGAGAACAAAACAAACAATACAAAAGAAACATCAAAGAGACAAATATTTCCCTTGTACACTGCCAAGATATATGCACAAACCTAAGTTTATATTTATAACTATCTACCATTGCATCTCCTTTTTCCCTTCCTACTCGGGAATAATAAAATGTGTTAGAACAACCTATTTGTTCAATGCTATCAGTTTATCGTACTTGGACAAGGTTGGGAGAAACTTAAAAGCAGTTAAAAAATGAAGGATGAAATTTAGTAGCACAAGCATCAGTTTATCGTACTTGGACAAGGTTGAATTTATAACTATGCTCTCCTTCAACCAAGCAAAAACCACACATAAGCAGGCTGGAAAGACATATTCTGACCTTGGTCAATGACTGATTGCCGTCCTCTGATGGATTCTATTCCAGATTTCAAAGTCTGCTGAGATATTTGGAAATCCTTAAACAGTTGCTTCCCAAATCGTTGATCCTGTGCGAATCCAAGAACCAAATGCTCAACAGAGACAAAGGAATCCCCATATTCTTTTTTATATTCTCTGGCTCGCTGGATCAAGGCTTCCAAATCACGTCCCAGCATTGAACCAGCTGACTCACCAAGTACCTGGGATAGTAGGAAAAACAATCGGGCAGTAACCATTTTGAAATCAGATTAGAGGGAACATGAAAGACTACTGTCTGTCAACAAAAAGTAAATACATGTTCCTAAGTTAACCTATCCGAGATACTCATGGAACAAGATATTGGTTAGTTCATGCTCCAGAGGTAATATGTTCATAAATGAAGGTTAACATGTGTTCATATAATTACGAGTTAATTTCAACGTAGACACAGTCAACTTGTGCTACTAATCAGATGCAACTCTGCTTTTAAAATATATACACTGAGCTTTAATAACAAAATACTGGGTATAATATCTGCAATGCAAGTTAAAGTATGTTGTCATCAATGTCGGTAATCTGTCAAATTTGCAGTAAGAAAAAAACAAGAATTATTCACAAACCAAAGCTCCATAACCAAGAAACTAACTCATTGCTCGGTAAGAAAGAAACCAACAGTTGGTCTAACTGGATCTATCTATTCAATCACTGCCCAGGCAGTTTAAGTATCTAAGAAAGGAAACTCAGGAGTTTAAAAGAAGTACCTTGGGCTGGCGTTGTATAAACTTATCAGTTGCCTCAAGCAAACGTGTGTTATCAACCCCAATTTTGGAAAAGATTCGGCGAGCAAGGCCATTCTTCTGTTCCAAGAGGGCCTTCATGAGATGTTCTGTTTCCACTATCTGGTGCTTGTTCTCCTTGGCCACATCTGGTGAAGAAACTATGGCTTGCCATGCCATTTCAGTAAATTCTTGCTGGGTAATCTGCTAAAATTACAAGTTAATCCAAACTCAGCACAGTAAAACAGGTACAATCTTATACATATGGACATACCTGGATTTAGAATGGGAGCTAACAAATGCATCATAAAGTAATTACTCCTACAAAGAAGAAAAGTTTTTTAAAAGAACTTCTATTAGCCATTTAATCGTTTTATACACTAAAAGAAGCAAATCAATTCAAGATATTTGTTTCAAATGGATTGAAAAACAGTCAATTCCAGCACCTAACTAAAAGCTGTTTTAACGAAAATACCTCATCAACACTAACAAAAAACAAAAACGCCCCCAAACCGAAACAAGACCCATCAAAGCCAATGCACATATACATGTAGATAAATCTATAAATACATTAGTTATTCTACGGGAACAGCCTTACCCTTCCGCTTGAAGCTTCACATCGAATAAGAAATGACTTCGACCTCCTAGAGACGCGGTCGAGCCCGTGAACAAATGACCCAGTTTTCTTCAATTTCAAGGTCTTGAGGGAGGTGGGATTGGCGGGTAAGGTCAAGGAGAGACGTGGTTGAGCAAACAACACAGCGTTCCGATGAGACACGGAGAGGCCGACCCGGGGAAATGATGCGGTGGTTGCCGCCATTGACGGAGCAAAAGAAGAGGTAACTTACTCAAGCTTTCAAAAGGTCCAGGCTTTGCGTGGGAATAAGGAAAAGAAGAGAGCTTTCTCTTTTATCGTTATAGTTGGTTCTGTAAATGTTGTTCTCGTCGTGAATTTAAGGTTGCGAGGGAGAGAGTTCGTGAAAGATCGCGAGATTGGTGGATGGACAGAGAGCTTTATACGGCGACGTTTTGGTTTGTCCTCTTTACACGTGGCTTCTGATAAATGGCTTTTCTTTTGAATTATCATATGCAACTAATATTTGTGAGGATATTTGTGATGATTTCTCATTAAAATTCAAATTTTTTTTCTATTAATTTTTAATGAAAGGGATATATTTCTTATCATATTTTAAAAAATAAAATTAATATATTTAGAGAATTTTTTTCAAACTTTCAAATTTATTCTTCATGATTTTTAGAAAATTGTTAGCAATCCAAGTAAAAATCTTAATATTAAATTCTTTCACTTCCCCCTTTATTATTTGTCTTAAAAAAAAAACCAAAAACCAAACATATTCCATTTTGTTTGGATTCAAATGTCCCATGATCCCATATAGCATTTTAGAAACTAAAATCAAGGGGTAAAGTATAAATTCGCTCTTAATTTTTTTAAAATTATATGATTTAAACTGTTAAAAAGTTTTTGAGTATTTAAATAATAATTTTTAAATTTAATTAAGTTCAATAGATAAAGTGACAAAAAATTAAATAGTCTTTAAATTTAATATACTTAGGAGTTGACAAAGTGGTAAAACAAATAATGAAATTATAAACCCTAGGTCCTAGATGTTAAACCCTACTAGATCCTATATCTTATATCCTATACTCTAGACCCCTAAACTCTAAACCCTACATCTTATGACCTTAAACCCTACACCATACACCTTAGACTCTAGACCCTAGACTCTAAACCCTAAATTCTAGATCTTATACCCTAGATCCTAAACTCTTCCTTAGACCTTAGACCCTATACTCTATACTCTATATTTTATATCCTAAATCCTAAATTCTAAACCCTAAGACTCTAAACCCTATGACCTTAGGACTCTAGGACTTAGGACCCTACACCCAAAGACTCTAGACCTTACGACTCTAAATCCTACATCTTAGGACTCTATGACCTTAGACCCTAGACCCCAGATCCTAAATCATAACCCCCTAAAAACCTAAATCTTACGACCGTATTACTTTACGACTTTATGACTTTATAGTCCTACTGTTCTAGGACCTTAAATCCTATACCCTAAACCATATATCTTAAGATCTTAAACCTTAAACCCTAAACTCTAGATACTATGTCTCATAAACTCTAAACTTTAAACCCTAAATTCTAAACTTTAGACCATAAACTCTAAACCTTAAACGCTAAACTCTAACCCCTAACTCTTAAACCGTAAAATTGTATATTATAAATCCTAAACCTTATACTCTAGATCCTATATCCTAAAATTTAAATCCTAAACTCTAAACCTTAAACCGTAAATTCTAATCCCTAAACCCTAAACTCTATACCTAAAATCCTAAAACCCTAAAATCTAATACTCTAAACGCTTAAACTTAGCCCAAATCCTATTAATGGTCTTCAATCCTACTAATAGTCTTAATACTTGTAACATTCCTAACCAAAGTCATAGTTCTAGGTATTATAACGATGTTAGTTTTATTCGGGTATAAAAATTTATACTCTTAATATTTTAATCCTACTAGTCATAATTCTAGTTCTTATCTTGGTAGTAATTCTATTCATAAACCTAGTAATTCAACTCCCACCAAAAATAATTTCTAACATGTTTCTAATATTGTGTTAATAGTTCTATTTATATGTAGGTATGTAATTATTATATTACATAGAAATAATAATAATAATAATAATATTAAATATTTACGAACCTATTGAGAGAAAAAATTATCAAATACAATAAAAAAAAAAAACAAAAGAAGATTTTAACAAAATAAGATAGGAGATACCAATTTGTCTCTCATTCAAACCTCAATGCCCTCGTCTGTTTAGAAGAGTCTCAAAAGAGATATTTGCCATCAAAATACATGAACATAAATTTCAAATATGAATTAAAATAAAAGACACTATAATAACCAATAAAAAAATAAAGTCTAGCTTTGACATTAAATTATTTTTAAGATTTCGCATTGCCAAAGACAAATTTTGTTATCAACAATGAAATTCATTTTTACACACAATTGAATTGCAAGAATGCATAGTGGATCTTTTAGAAAAAAAGAATTATAAATAAGTAGTTGAAATTGTTTAAACTTTCAAGAAACCTATTTTCAAATTAGAATTGGCAATTCTAATCTAATTTTGCTATTAATCAGAACCGAAACAATGATATTCTAAGGCAATTTGAAGATCACAAGTAAATGGGTGGTTTGCATATAAAGAAATTTAAAAATAAATGCAAATTGAAGATACACAAAGTAAATGGGTGATTGCATATAAAGAAACTTAAAATAAATGCAAATTGAAGATACAAAAATAAATGGGTGATTGCATATAAAGAAATTTAGAAACAAAGAACAGTCTGTACACCAGAATTATATGACATGTAAAGAAGATAAATGACAGGAAACAACCAAAGTTATTCCAAAAATAAGAAAATATAAAGCTTGAAGGAGAAAAAGGCCAAAGATCAGTTGGGTAGTAGGGCGACATATGCTTAAGATTTCAGAACTTACTAGCAACTAAAAAACATGGAACAGCTTTGAACAAAAACCAAAGCAGACGTAAAAAATAAGATTAGAAAGATTAAAAAATATATATATATATATATATATATCTTCAGAATATGAATAATTAAAAATATGACATCAGGAAATACAGAAGCAAGAAGAGAACCATAAGTTTTCTTTATAGGCATCAGGAAGTACAGAAACAAGAAGAAGATCTCTCTGAAAAAGACGAGTTTTTACCAAAGCATATGAAGATTTTCTCTTGTTGCTTGTTGGAGAATAGTAAGTTTTGAACGCTAACCCATCTCTGTTCTTTTATGCTTTTTTTCCTCTCTCTCTCTCTCTCTCTCTCTCTCTATATATATATATATATATATATATACGGGGCTTGCAGGTTTTCAAGAATATTGTGAAGGAAAACAGAGCCGAGAAAAGAACAAAGGGGTTCTTTTTCTGCGGGTCTAAGAACCCATTTCTAGGTTCTCTCTTTCTCCCTGTAGAAACTGAAAGAAGAAACAGAGTCGAGAAGAAAATGAAGAGCACCCATTTCTAGGTTTTCTCTCTCTCTCTCTCTCTCTCTCTCTCTAGAAATTGAAAGAAGAAACAGAGTCGAGAAGAAAATGAAGAGAACCTCTCTTTCTCTCTCTATAAACTGAAAGAAACAGAATTGAGAAGAGAATGAAGAGAACCCATTTCTGCGCTTTCGAATCTTCTTCTTCTCCCGTCTGATATATTTCTGCTCTGCTTCCCTCTCCCTCTCTCTCTCTCTTCTCTACAAAGTTCTGTATATTTGGTTTTACCGATTGTCTCGTGACGCTCTAATAAACTTGGATAATTTGTAGTTGCTGATGTAATAGCAATTTAATTTTCATTTCATTTCATCACATCTGAGTTCATCTTCACTTGCTTGAATCCAAGTAACGAATTCGACCGTTAGATTCTCTTCTTCCTACCACCACCACCTTCTTCTTTCTTTTAAAATTCAATCTCCCTCGTGCCGACAAGTCCTGCCCCAGAGGAAGACAGAATTCACAAACTTTGATTTTTCATGCCTAATTGTTTTAATATTTACAAAATTTATATTACTATCTCCCCCATAATATTTACAATCAGTTTTGTTTTTAATTAATACCAATTTATTTTTTATAAGTAATTTTAAGAAAAGAAAGCCTTAAACTATTCATACTAATAAACTAATCAAAGATAAGAATTCATAACAATAAATCGTTGATCATTGAAATTTTTAATAGTATATCATAATCTTAACTAGTATGTGCAATCATTACACTTATATACAATATTTAAACTATAATAAAAAAATGTTCTTAATAATATATATAACTGGTGTGAGCTTTTATATGGAGGAAAAAGAGCAGTTTAGGAATAAGCTAAAAAATGTCAAAGTATTTTGGTCTTTTAAAATAAGGTTTAACTACCCATTTAGAATAAATTTGATTGAAATGAATAAATTTTGTTCTGTTAAAATATTTGATAGTCAAATGCATTGCACCTAGTGTTTTGTACTAGAATATCCTCTGGTGTAATTTGATATCACCAAGTATATCAAATTGTATGGATACAATGCAACTAATTGTATAATATTATGTTGTACTCGAATACCAAATGCAACTATCAATTTGGTACTCAATTTAGACGATGCATATAGATTTCGAAGAAGATAATGAATCGGATAAACCAAACTATCAAATGATTTTATACAATGCAAAACAAATCCAGATGATAAGAATCTGTAAATGATTTAAGTAAAGACATCTATTTCGATATAACTGCTCTATGGCAGAGTCCAATCAACTAAATAAAAGAGAAAATAAACCAGATGGATGAAAAATCGGTAGACATCGAAAGGCAAAAACCAGGAGAAAATACACGAATATCATGTGATAAATGCCCATCACGCCATCGGCCTTTTCATCAACAAACAGTTCATTTTCTGCACCTGTGTATGCTGTAAAAGCTCTAAAACCTGTTGATAAATATATAGATGCTTTAGTTTAAAACCAGAAATATGGATATATATATACATATATATATTGACAAGCAATCGCGAACTGTAAAACCAACCCACCGAAAGAAGAAATATCATAGCCGTTCTTGGAACAGCAACTTATAGTATGACACAACCACATTTGTTCTGCTGTGGTTCGCTTGCTACTCTCTTCTCTGTTCCATTTAAGAATGATTAGAACATATACAAAAACTGTAGAATCTTTCGAAGCAACATAAATCAGCTGGCCCTTGTCTATCGCTTCACTACTCACAAGAAATAACCAAGTACACAATTCATTACGATTTGTATTTTCAAACAACTAAACAAGGAAGTGCTTCTGTGCACTTCCAAAAAAAAAAAAACTTCAAATGCTTATTAGGTTTAAATGGATAATTACGATCTTATGTTAAATTAAAAAAGTTGAAACAAATGAATGGTAGTTTCATAAAATAGCTAGCAGCTTTTAGATACATGTTGGGGAGGAACAAACAGATTCTAGATAATAAGCATAATTAAACTGTAGGCAGGATGGAAAGGACTAATTCGAAAAGACAAAAGGCTTTTCTCTTGGTGAATGCATGAGGTACAAGACTTTTATTATGGTCTGCCATTTAGACGTTCAGCGATAGTATAAATAACATTTTAGAAGATAACTATACCTCTCTCCTTATGAGGCTGAATAACGACATGCATAGTTGTAACTGCATCTGGGGCATCACATAGAGGGCTCCTGCACTCTGCCACTGTCCTGTTGTTCTCCAAAATTTTTCCAGCACTAATTAGCTTCACGTCTTTCACTGTCTTTGGACCATTTTCCATCTCTGAAAACAAATATAGACATGCAAACATATCGTATTTAAGTCATGTTATCAGAGCCATAATTCATATCAATCAAATTTGAAAAGGAGAGAAATCCAGCCTATATAGAGTTTACAACCTTATTAAGTAACCTATCTTATGGAAAAAATTCTTACATTTATTAAGAAATGTTTGGCCGTCTTTTCCTATTCTGTTGAATGTCAGATGCAGAATAGAAGAAATCTTTCAACCAAGTAACATGGAAGAAGGCAAGTCATATTAAGTTATTGATTTCCATATTAGTTCCCTTGACGAGGATGAAGTAAAATGCATAAACCAAGACATCCAGAAGAGGAAGATATGTGGTTAGAGTGCGAGAGAACATGTAAACTGGGGTATGTCAATTCCATACATTCTACACAAGTTTCCATCGGATCTCCCTTTATTTCCTAAATGAACTGCAGTTTAAATAAAGCACCCACGTTCACGTGTTCAAAATCAAATTATTAGTTCCTGATGGAACTAAGCTACAATGTAATGAAGACGAGTAAGCTAGCTGAAAATGTCCCTGATTCTAAAACATGTTTATTTAATACACATAATCCGCACCATGATTATACT